CCCTTGCCTTTGGAGATATGTCTTGAAAGAAATTACTGTGGCTGTTGTCGAAGAGGTAACTACCTATGTTCTCCTCTAGGATTTTGATGGATTCCTGTCTCACTTTGAGGTCTTTCATCCATTTTGAGTTTATCTTTGTGTATGGTATAAGGGAATGGTCCAGTTTCATTCGTTGTCAAATCCAAAAAAAAATTATCACCAAAACTGATATCGAGGAGCTTACCACCTGTGTTTTTTTCAAGTCTTTATCCATTTTGAGTTAATGTTTGTGTATGGGTAAGGTAGTGGTCCAGTTTCATCCTATCGCATGTGGCTGTCCTGTTTTCCCAATACCATTTATTGAAGAGACTGCCCCTTCCCCATTGTATATTTTTGGCTCCCTTCTTGTAAATTAATTGGCCACATAAGCATGGATTTATTTCTGGGTTCTCTATTCTGTTCCATTGGTCTATGTGTCAGCTTTAATGCCAATACCATACTGTTTTGATTACTATAGATTTTAATCTAGTTTGAAATTAGGGAGCATGATACCTCCAGCTTTGTTCTTCTTTCTCAAGATTGCTTTGGCTATTCAAGGTCTTTTGTGATTCCATAAAAATTTTAGAATTGTTTGTTCTATTTCTGTGAAAAGTGCCATTGGAATTTTGATAAGGGATTGCATGACTCTGTAGATTGCTTTGGGTAGTATGGACATTTTAACAATATTAATTCTTTTAATCCAAGCATGGGATATCTTTCCTTTTGTTTGTGTCTTCTTGTTTAATTTCTTTCATCACTGTCTTACAGCCATTATTGAAATATTCTTTCTGCCCCTTTTTCTCTCTTCTCCCTTTCTGAGACTCCCATTATGCATATGTTACTATTCCTGTTGCTGTTCCATAAGTTTCAGAGCCTCTGCTCATTTTTTTCACTCTTTTATCTGTATACTCTTCTGACTGGAAAATCTCAATAAACCTGTCTTCAGGTTCACTGATTCTTCTGTTACTGAAATCTACTGTTGAGCCTGTCTAGTAAATTTTCATTTCATTTTTTTGTACCTTCCAACTGCAGAATTTCTCTTTGGTTCTTTTCCATAATTTCTATTTTTTTGCAATTGTTATTCTTTACTTATAAGCTATCTTTTTCATATTTTCCTTTAGTTCTATATACATGGTTTCCTTTAGTTTTCTGAACATATCTAAAATAGCTAATAACTATCTTTGTCTACAAAATACAACATCTGGGCTCCCTCAGGAGCAGTTTCTATCGATTGACTACATTTTTGTTTGCTTATGGGCCATACTTTAATGTTTATTTGCATGTCTTTTGTTGTTGTTTTGTTGAAAACTGTACATTGTAAATAATGTAATGTGGCATTTCTAGAAATAAAATTGCTCCCCCCGGCCCCTGGGTTTATTTTTGTTGCTATTTGTTGTTGTTTGTTTAGTGACTTTTCTGAATATTATAAAGTCTGTGTTCTTTGACATGTGTGACCACTAAAGTGTACTCAATTAGCTTAATGGCCGCTAACAATTGGAAAGAGATTTCCTTAAATGGAAGAACCAGTAAATCTCCCAGTTTTTACCAAATGTCTCTGTGTATGTTGGGGCACCCCTTCATTGCTCAGCCAGCCAACTGAAAACTATACCTTAGCTTTAACTTCCTGATTTCACAGAGACTGGAAGGCAGAGGAGAGAACTTAGGGTCGTCTCAGATATTTTCTAAGAATGTGCACAACCTTACATATGCACATGGACTTCTAGATTTCCAGAAATATGTCAAAGCTTTTCAGAGTCTTTGTGGACACAGAGTTAAACAATTCCCTGTAAATGTTTTTGAAAAATGCTCCCAGAGAAAAGGTGTTTTGCATTGGGTGAGCTATGAACTATGAGTCAGGTAAAATAAAGACAGCTTTGCTAGTAGTGTCTTCCAGGGGACCACCAAACAGGTCAGATAATGATAATTCACTGGAAATGACTCTTGGAAGCAACTCCAACACCATTCTGCACGCCCCCCTCCCCCGTGGCTTTTAGGCTTCTTGTTTTTACTGTAATTATGTGGTGTTATTTTTTAGCTACTACAGAACTGAAAAGGAGGACATGGGGGGAAAAAAGAAAGAAAGGAAGGAAGACATGGGAACTGGGCAAATTAAAGTTACATGAAGCTCACTGCCCTTAATGAGATTATTTTTCTTAAATAAATCCTCCCCACATTGCTGCAAGCATTTTGTTAATTTCCATAATCCTGGAAAATCTTCATTCTGACATTTTTTCCAGTTTTCTCATTGCTTTTATAGGAGAGACAGTTCTGGGAGGTCATTACTCTAGTTTTTTCTGTCTCCTAAATACTCCAGTCTTGAGTATATAGCTTTTTAATAATCTGTGTGATGAAATAGAATAACATATAGAAGAACGCTCCTGCTGCATACTGAAGTATAATGTTTGCCTCAAACTGAACTAGCTGCTCTTTTCATAGAACACCATATTTACTTGACAGTGTTATATAGACATGAGTATTTGGCAGATATTTCCTTAAACATGAATCAGTGAGCCTGTCATTTCAAGAAAACTGACAGAAGTTGATGCCAAGCAAAAATAAAAATTCGGGAAAACTTGTATTTACCACTGTGCTTGATAGCTTCCCTGTACTTATATTTTTCTGGTGAGATTGGTGATGATGTTAACAAATGTAATTGTGTGATATTAATAATGAAATGTGTCAATATTTGGAAGATCTGCCTAATTCCATAAATCAGTATTTTCTAAATAAGCAATGCACGATGTTAACAAAATCGTGGATACATGAAAGAGTCTTTCACAGTTTAAGATAGAGCAATAGTTTTTAATACAAAAAGCATAAAAAGTTCATAGACTTGATTTCAGATTTCACATTTCAACTAACCCTTAAACTATCATTTGTCAAGTTTTGCTGTTGTATCAAAGAAGAATATCCACAATTATCTGAAAAGGCTACTAAAATAATCCTATTTCCTCTCAGGGTGGTGGGATGTGCCCATCTTGGGCTCCATGCTCAGGGTCGTATCTGCTAGTCCCTCTCCCTCCTCCTCTGCCCCTCCCTCTATTCGCCAGGGCATGCTCTCTCTCTCAAATAAAAAAATAAAATCTTTTCAAAAAATAAAAGAATCCTATTTCCAACTGTATATCTCTGTAAGGCCAGATTTTCTTCATATATTTCAACTAAAATAACATATCATAACAGATTGAATATTGAAATAAATATGACAATCTAACTATCTTCTATCAATCCAGACATTAAAGATATGTACAAACGTGTAAAACACTGCCATTCTTACCACACTTTTCTGTTTTGGAAAATACAGTTATTTTTCATTAAAATATTTGTATTAACATATGGGTTATTTTAAAGCAGTTAGCACAAATAGTCTTAAAATTTGTGTTTTAATTTCCACTGTGGTAAATATCAAAAGCTGTAACTCACGTGAATAAAAGTTCTTTAAGGCCCTTAATAATATCTAAAAGTGCAAAAAGTCTTGAACTGAAGAGTCTGGGAACTGCTTATGCTAGGTTTTCTAAGATCAAAGCTCTACTCACAAACCAACTGGAAAATATAAAGGTGACTGACTACTATTTAGGACTTAATTCAGTTGCCCATGTTTAGTGTCAATATTTTTATGGGACCCATGCACAAAATCTGCTCATCCACACAGGAATGATGGTCAGAATTATTCTTCATAGAACCAGAAAGGCTGATCCCTTCCTGCTTTGTGAATAGACCACGCTTCTCTATCTGATAGCTTTTGTGCAAGGCTATTACTCTGTCTGGAAAGCTCCCCCCCCACCCCAGTTCTTATTTAGTCTTCAGATCTCAAATCAAATGTCATTGTTTCAAAGAAACCTTCCCTGACCTACTCCTTCCAAAGCTCTTCTCCTCCAGATTTCACTGAAACCCCCTAATCTCTTTATGGGTCCAAGCACATTTTTTTCTTTCATTAACACATACCACAATTTGTAAGTACGTAGTTTTAATATTTGGTTCGTGCCTTTCTCTCCCTTAAACTTCAGCTTCACAAGGGAAGTTTTCTTTTTAGCGTACTGTTTTGTCCTCAATATGTATCACAGTATTTGGCAGTATATATATATATATACAGAATGATTCAATTATTTTCCAATATGAAAACCACATGTTTAGGCAAGGAAGAGTGCATTTTATTGATTGTCCCATCATTTTAAATAGTTTTTCAAATTACTAGCCATGAGTTATGAGAGATCTGTTGAAAACAGTTTTTATTGTATGGCCCTCCAAGTAAAAGATATCTTAGCAGCACAGTCATTCTGAAAGAAATTAGATTGCTTGATTTGTTGACACAGATGCCATTTCACAGAACTTTCTCCCCACTCATACTTCTTAGTTTCCAAGCTTTTTAAAAAATAAAATACAAAAAGACTTTTACTAATGGTTATGCTGAGCCTTTCTCTAAAAATATCTTTTATTAAATACAGGAGGAGATTGGATTCATGCTGTATTATTTCTTTTGGTACTAATGGTGCATTTTCCAACTTCAGAAATTGTTTTTAAGACCGCAAAAGTATCAGATTAAACGAATGTGGTGACTACCTCAGGACAGTAGTATTTTATTATATTTTCCTTCCAAGAATGTAACTGTTATAAATTACTACAGTTATTTATTCTTCACTTTACAATTTATTAACTGAGGGGGTCATATTTCATTCTTCTTCCATTTGAGTAACTTTTGCATGCGTTTTTATGTAGCAGTGACAAATAGTTTTTCATTTGAGGGCTCTAGACTTTGGTCCTGTTTTAATTAGAAGACTTTCGAGATTTGGATGAAGGCAGCATATTGTCCTTTCAGATATCCAGGCAAAATTTGCAAGATCTGTCTAACCGTAAGAGTTACAAACCCCCTTCAGGTAATAAGTCTAGTATACTTTAATAGCACTGCTTTCAGAATTTACAGCCTTTACTTTAGAGTCCTCAGTGTTGATGTTACTGCTAATCTCAAATGGTTTTGTTTTACCCAGAAACAAATGGATATCAATGCTGCTATTCAAGCCTTGATTGAATCACATACTGCCCTACAGTTGGAGGTAATATATCTGGCTTTATTTACATTGGCACTCTCAGTATACAAATTAAAACAGAAAGTTTTTTCAGAGTCCAAAATGTGGCTTTATCGCAAAGATTGTACTTAAAACAGATTGAACATAATGAAACTATTTTTAAGGACAAAGTAAGCATTTTTTAATAAAATATGCATGGAATGTTTTTTAAGGAAAACATTTAAAACAAAAATGTAATATATTTAAGGAATTTTTTAAATAAAGAATTAGATACTGTAGAAGAAAATAGTTAAATGAAGCCTAGCCATTTCTTAAAATGGGATCTATCATTGTTACTCATTTTTCTTATTCAAACTCTATTCAATGTATGATTTTCTTTAAAACATTATACTACAGTAGCCATAATAATTGTTAAGTTTCGTGTTAGCTTGAAAACTAGGCCTTTAGAGTGAATTTAATCTCTTATTTAGGATCAAGATTAATAAAACATACACATAAGCCTATATTTAAATATAAACTGTTTTTTACACCCCACTCCCAACTCATTGCATACAACAAGAATACATTTTTCTTCTGCCTTGGTCCTTGTTGATCGTGAGGATTACATACTGGTAATGGCTACTCTATGCTTTTTTGCTAATATGATCCCTATGATGACTTGGCAGAGCTACCAGAATACCGAAGTAACTTTAATTGACTACAGTGCAGAGATATTCAAAACCCTGAACTACCTTAGCAATTTACTGCACAGTATCAAGAATCCTCTTGGCACACGAGATAACCCAGCACGAATCTGTAAAGATTTGCTTAACTGTGAACACAAAGTATCAGATGGTAAGTTCTTGGTTTTTTAAAACTCTGATGTCCAATTTCATCATTTCAGTGTGTTTGAGATTTACAGTGTATTCATTTCAAATCGTAATCATTTTGATAAAACCCTTGTAAAAGGCATTTTCGTGTTTTCAAAAAACAAATACTCTTAGAGAGAGACATAACTCTGAAGTCAGAGTATCCTTTTCTGAGGGTTCACATTAACAATGTCTTCTGCAAGCCTTATTGATCCCCAATTTTTCCTATTCCACCCGAACTATATCACTTGCTTACACTTTGTGCCTGGAACATATCACATTCATGTTAAAAATTAAAATAGAAAGCACTGACCTTTGGGTTAACAGGAGTACCTGTCAGGTCCACCAGAGGTGGCAACATGAAAAAACATATGATAGAGTCCCTACCACCATACCTCCTAACATTGTGGTTTTTACACAAAATGGAAATTAAATGCATCCTTTAATTCTTGGAATTTTTTGTCCCTACAGGGATACCCCAAATCCATTAACCAGAGGTGCAAAAATGAATTTAGAGTAGAAGCATCAAGGAAAAGTTTTAAAGCAAGTAGAACAGTTATATTATCTAATGATAAGTAGGGGAACCCTGTCTGCTGCAATACATCATTTAACTTTAATTTCTATTGGGTCTGTGGTCAGTGGTACAATCAATATTAGTAGTTACCATTTTTTATTAAAAATTCTATTTCCAACACAGTGACACATATGCTGATTTGGAAAAAAAAAACATGTTATGTCCTTCTGTAGGGTGAATAGTAGTCCATATTTTATTTAACTTAAATACAGATATGCCACATAACACACACACACACACACACACACACATACACACTCACCCATTTTTGTCCAAAAATACATACTTCCAATAGAAGTACAATGAAAATATTCATTTTATTTATATTGATAAAATGCTTAACTTCTATAGATATTTTTTGCCCTAGATTACCACAAAAACTAAACTGATATTTATAGTTACAACTGCCTATAGTAATTCTAAGTTTGATTCTTTCCCATATTTGAAGGCATAAAACTGCAATTCTATAGAATTAAAAGGAAAAAAAGACATTTTAAGGCATACAAATGACTAAAATCTAATTCGAGGTCTGCCTTCCTTGTAGGAAAAATAGCTAAGTGGTATGGATTGCAAGGTATCAGAAAGGTTTTAATGCCCAAAAGTATTTTCATCCCTAGGAGACAGTAAATGCTATAGGGAAACACAAAACGGCAGGGAGAGGGGATATGATAGAAAGTGGAGTGGGGTTAGTTTTAAATATAGTGGTTAGATAAGGCATGTCTGAGAACATGGCAGTTGGGAAATATCAGAAGGAGGTAAGGGTACAAGCTACAGGAAATCTAGGGAAAGAGCTTTCCAGGCAGAAAGAACACCTGCAAAGGCCCTGGCAGTGAGTGTCCTCAGTGTGTTCTAGGATTAGCAAGAAGGCCAGTGTGACTAGAAGAGAGTACGTAAGAAGAAAGTAGTAGAAAATGAAGTCAGAAAGATATAAAAAAAAACAGACTATATAGGATCTCATAGACTACTCTCAAGACTCCAGCTTTTATTCTGAATAAGGTGGGAAGCCATTAAAAGTATTTCAGCAAAGAAATAATATGATTTGACTTAGATTTTTAAAATATTACTCTGGCTAATGTATTGCAAATATAATGAAGACAAGTGGAAAAGAAGCCACTGAAAAGGCCATTGAAAAAATCCGGGTAAGAGACGATGATGGGTTGACCTAGAGTTGGTAGCAGAGGAAGTGATAAGAAATGATCGAGTCTTTGGTTATGCTTTAAAGTAGAGCCAACAGTTTTTGATGATAATTGGATGTGGGTTAAGAAAGAAATAGAAGGATAGAGGATGACTCTAACAATGTTTTTGACTAACAGATGGAAGTGTGGGGTTGCTGTAATAGAGATGGAGAAGCAAGTTTTAGAGAAAAGATCAGGAGTTCAGTTTTAGATACATTTCATTTGAGATGTCTGTCAAGGATCAGTAAGAATGTCCAGGAGGTAGGTGGCTGTTAAAAAGAGGGGTCCTGGCCAGGGGTAAAAATTATGAATTCACTTGCATATAAATAGCATCCAATGCCCTATAACTGCTTAAGACTCCTTAAAGAGTAGGTGGAGAAAGAAAAGCAAAGAGGTCTAAACACTATGCCTCAGGGCTCTTCAATGTTTAGAGATCAGTGAAATGAGAAGGAACCAGCAAAGAAAACTAAGAAGAAGCTATACCTGATAGGAAGAAAACTAGATGCATGTGGAGTGAAGAAAATGTTTGCCTGAGAGGGAAGGGATCAACTGGGTCCCTGTCGGGTAAAGTTAAGACTGAGAGAGGCTACTGGATTTAGCAGCATGAGGTTCTGTGATGACCTTCACAGGAGCAGTTTAGAGGAATGGTAGTGGTTAAAACTTTATCCAATTTTAAGAGAAAATTGTAGAGCCAGAGAGTATCCATTTCCAATAATGAAGCAGGTAATTCAAATTGCCTGGCTAAATTTTTTTAAATGTTTTTTAAGTTAAAAGCATCAAATAGCTAACAAAATAGTGAGGACATTTCAAGCCAACATTTTGAAGAAGACTGCAGAGAGATGAACAGAACACATTTAGAGCTGCTTTTGTCCTGGGTGTGTTCACAAACTAAGTACTGCTTTTGGTGGCTTCATGGGGCTAGGAGTCAAAAGTTGGAATCTGTGGTCCACCAAGCGTGGGGATTTAGGCTTTCAAAGGGCTCCATTCTAAGAGCAGACATGAACTGGAAGAAAAGAGACATTCATACAGATTGTAACCTAGCTTCACATCACGAAGATAGCTCAGAATCTTAAGCTTTGAACTTGGACTAAGATGGTTCCAGATTGCTCGTACCCCCCACCCCATTCTGACAGAAACTAAAGTCTTCTATAAAATATATCCTCCTAGGGCTCAAATTATTTCCACAAATCATTTCTCGAATAGAGTGCCCAGCACATAATCAATGGTAATAAGGAGTACTGGTTGGTAAAACACCACGAATGAGAACTGGCAGAAATAGCAAACAGAATTATACTCAAAAGAAAAATAAGAGAGGAAGAATTTGAAACTGAAGGTATAATAGACAAGGTAAGCCTTATATAGGAACACAGTTTATTCACAAGAGTAACAAGGAAGACAGAATATATGTGCGCAAATACAGATAGGTAAATAGTTGTAGCAGTGGGAGCTTATAGAAGTTCCTTTCAGATTGCTTTGGTTGTCTTAGTGAAATTGAAAGGTTATCAGTCAAGAATAAGGATGAAGGAATAGGTATAATAAAGTTGAGGGAAGAAGAAAAGGTTTCAGCTAGTTGGCTAGGTGAGTGACAGAGGGAACTAACAAGGGAAACATAGTGTCGTTATCTGGCAGCCTTACAAACATTTGAATTTAAAGTGAGTCCAGTCGGCATGGCTGTATTTTTCTTTTCTTTTCTTTTCTTTTAAGATTTTACTTATTCATTTGAGACATAGAGCTACAGAGAGAGAGAGAGAGCATGAGCAGGGGGAGAGGCAGAGGGAGAGAGAGAAGCAGACTCCCCGCTGAGCAGGGAGCCCAATGTGGGGCTCAATCCCAGGACCCTGGGATCATGACTTGAGCCGAAGGCAGACGCTTAACCATCTGAGCCATCCAGGTGCCCCTGCATGGTTGTATTTTTCTTTAGCCATATTTACTGCGTGAGATCAAGCACAGATTAGGCACAAAACTGGATTTCTATAAGACTGGGACTTTATAAGACAAGTACGTTGAAGTGAGGCAGGGCAGGGATGTTAAGGAAGTCTCCAAGGAAGTAATTATAGTAAAGGACTAGGGGTTTACTTGGGTAGGAAGAGAATTGAACATATGATGCACATATGATGAGAGATGATGAAAAAAGTGGTAATATCAATGGATATTAGGTCCTGAAGGAATGGAAGAATTTATTAGAGTCAGGACACCAGAGTGAATGAGCTTAAAAGAGAAGAGGTGAAATTATGGCAGAATTCTAGTTGTAGGTAATAACAAAGGCTAGAATATGGCCTGGGAAGTTAATGGTTAAAGTGAATGGGGTAGTAGGGGGAGCAGTGGAAGGATAGAGAACACTGGCAGAAGAGTTCAAGGAACTGAGAGGCCAGGGTGTTGGAAGTGCTATTCATGTGAATTTAAAATCATCACGACTTGGGTCATAAATATATTTTCTGAAAGTGATAGCCATCCAATGCTAAAATCTTCCAAGAAAGTGGATGACTGCAATGGGAAGGGGTAATGGATGACATAATGTAATGACAGTAATTTTACCATGGAGTTGTTTTAGGGAAAAAATAGGGAAAATGGAGGTGGCAATGAAGAGCAAGAAAGACACCTTCCCTACTCCAGGCACAATGCTAATAGAGGCTGTGGCAGAACTTGAAAGGGCTGAAAGGGAAGCACTGTCCTCATGGAAGAGCCAGTTTTGGGTTAGAACATTTAGGCCTACAAAAGATATATTATGGTATAGTGCTTCATTAATAGCTCAGCATATCCTGAAAAAAATTACGAAGTCCCTACCAGGTCCCCATTATACAACATAATGCTTGAATTCAAAGAATTCTACTGTATATAACAACAAGAGTTTGCTTGATGGAAAACTTTTTATAAGGAATTTATTAGCTCACAAAATAGAAGGAAACTGTTTCTTGGAAGAGAAGAGATGGTAGTGAAGATAATGTTTTTACCCCATTAGGTAAGATTGGAAGCCTGCATTAGATCCTGGTAAAAAGTCCAGCACTCATTTCTATAAATTTGACAAAATGTCCAAAATTCTAAGGGAAGGGGACAAAAAGGGACCAGAGGGTAGGATTTCTTTTGCCCCTTTCTTCCATATTGCAATAGATCAGTGGTTCTTCAAATGTTCCTGGACCAGAATAAGATTCTGTTGAAATGCAGATTCTCAAGCCCTGACTTAATGAATCAGCAACTCTGGATGAGGCCGAGCTATCTGAGTTTTAACAGGTGGTTCTAATGCCACCAAATTTGAAAATACTGCAGTAGAGGACAGTCCCTACTCTTGGATCCACCAGTTCAGCAAGTATTCATTTTGAAGGATTAGAATAGTAAAGGAAAGAAGAGTTGAGGATGTTTTGGAAGTCTAAAATAACAGACCAGAGAGGAAGCCCAGCATGAGGTAGAGGAATCTTTGCAATAGGGTAAGGATGGAACGGACAAGGATTTCTACCTACGGTAGAAATGACATTTGCCAAATACTGTTTGACTGTCTTGCCTTTTTAATGCAAAAAAAGCAGGGCTATCTCATTCAAACATTCTTAGTCTTTGCTGTTAGAATAAGGCGCTACTTCAATATCCTGAGCCTGTTACTCTGGAATTAAGATACTAGATCAGTACTTTTTCAGCCTGAGTGTTTCCTATAGGCTGACTTCAAGACTCCATTTGATTCTGCTGGGCATTCAGTGAAGACAAAAGTTGGCAGGCTTACACTGGCTGTAGGGATTTCAGTTTTTCTCACAAATCTGATGAAGAAAGCACAAAAATGATAATCATTTAATTGTACATTTTCTTTCTGTGAAAACAAAGGATGTTTTATTATTTTTATTCTAATTATTATAAAGATAATATTTTACCTCAGGGAGATAGAAGTTGTTTCTGTTTTATATATATATATATATATTCATTTTTAAACTCTGTAATGACACAGAACAGATGTATACAAGTACACCACATCAACTGCAACTTTTCTATTAACTATGTAATTTTAGACAGTTCCCTTTAAGCTGATGAGCTCATCTGTGGAAAGAAGCAGTAAATTCAGCCATTCTATCATTTTTTGTCAAAATTATAAAATGCCCTTAAATTGATAGGTATATGAAAAACCCAGTATTTTGGGTATCAGTTTTACATAACGCTCACCGCTTTCATTCATTGACTAAATGTAAATATCTTTATAATCTTCTAAGTTTTTTTACAGTTAAGACTATAAAAATATATTTTTAAAGTATGATAATTTGCAATGATGGTTCAAATATGTTTTAGTGTGGAGTTTAAGTATTTTTATGTTTTACAATGAATTAATAGGAAAATACTGGATTGATCCAAATCTCGGATGCCCTTCAGATGCCATTGAGGTTTTCTGTAATTTCAGTGCTGGTGGTCAGACATGTGTATCTCCTGTTTCTGTAACAAAGGTATGTATTGAATTGTAGAATATATGCAGGTACTTGCCCAGTATCAGTGAACATGATTTTTTAAATTCTGTCACTTTAAATAATTACGATTTTATGAATGGAAGCAAGGTATCATTTTCTACCATATATAAGAAAGAATTTTTTGTTTTTAAAAAACAATTCTAGTAGAATCTTGATATTTTGATTGTGTATTTTATGATTGGTATGTCATGGCTTATTCTACTGATTATGCTTTTTAGTTTCCTTTTAGAAATGTTGGGGGGCACACACCTGGGTGCCTCAGTCAGTTGAGCGGCTGACTCTTGGTTTTGGCTCAGGTCGTGATCTCAGCAGGGAGTCTGCTTGGGATTCTTTCTCTCCCTCTTCCTCTGCCCCTCCCTGGCCTCCCTCCCCCCTACCCCTGCCATGCAAGCTCTCTCTCTCAAAAAAAAAAAAAAAATGTGATACGTATGTTTCTATGCATATACATACATTAGAAAATCCCCGAACAGCTGCAATGTTTGTAATTAGTAAGTAATCAGTTACCTAAAGGTTTTCTGAAAATGACATCATTAAAAGGGATTTTGCCACAAAGCTTGCTATCTTTGATGATTTGGCACAAAGAACCTCCCTTAAACATCCATTGAATATTTTTTAAAACTTCTTCCAAGTATAATAAAATGAATGAAAGTTAGTTTGGTATGATACTGGGATTATAACAAGCATTTATAAAACCTAGAGCTTAGTTCTACCTATAACATATTGAAGAAATCAAAACTGCATTTCTTTCTTTTTCTGGTTAAACCAGTTTGGTATTATTACCAAGGACTTATTTCTCATTGACAAATAACTGATACACCTGCCCTTTGTATGTTTGGTCCATCATAAAGAGGCAGCAGCTAAAATGTGCAGTCTGTTAGTCTCTGTAGCTGCTTATTGTTTCACTGCCCTTTTCTAAAATATCCCTCTTCGTTAAGGGTGTTTCACCAGTTCATCGCGGTAGGCATTCACCATTATTACTCTCAAAGCAGAGGCAGGAAAGATTCTTCCATTCCTAGGGAATCCATGTTCCTCTGATGAAGATCAGCATGATAGTCCTAATTCCAGAATATCTGCATGATCATCCTCATTCCCCTGGATTGGGCCCAGGATTTTTATCTGGTTTATCACAGAAGACAGATGGGGACCGGGAAGTGTGTACAAAGGAGATAGGAACAGTGAAGTTGCTGCACTCTAATTCCTTCCTTGCTGAATCAACTCTCCTATCTCTCCTATCCATAAACTCAACTTGAGAAAGACTGGGCAGGTAGTGGAAAGAATGGTAGACTTGGAATCAGGGACCTGAGTTCTAGTCTCTGTCCCTCTACTAACCTGACAAATGATACTCTGAGCCACAAAAGAGCCTACTCTGTGCCAGGCACTGTGCTAGGTAAGTGACGTTTGGCACCTTAAATCCTTACAACAATCCTGCAATGTCAGTGTCATACTCCACTTTACCAACAAAGACACTAAGGCTCAGAAAGATTAAATAGTTTACAAGTTTGTGTTTCTCAGCTATAAAATAAAGGAACCTGATCTACTTAAACTCTAATGTTCCTTATGATGATCCTTCCATGGTTTCATCCTCATTGACCTTCTTTTTTTGCCTTTCTTCTCTTTTCCTTTAACTTTTTTGGTTGTTGTCTTTTTTTTTTTTCCTTCTCTGATACCTCATAACTGATATTTTTCTAATTTTATGTTTGGAAATTAATATAAATTCCTTGTAGAAACCACTTTTGTTCACTTATGTTATGACAATATGCCTGCTTGAATAATAATAAAATAATAATAATGTCAAAAGCTATAGAAAAATCTACTTCCTTGTCCAAGCCTGGGAAACCTGCAACAGACCTCCTTGCTCCAATTTTGCCCTGTATTGTTGACTTTATTATTAATACTTGTTCATGCATTCATTTCAATAAACATTTATTGATGACTCCACTCTATGACTGGAACTGCATTAGGGGCTGGCAACACAAAGAATAAGATTCTATCCTTGTCTTTAAAGGCTCTCATAGTTAAAGCTACTCAACAAGGTATTATTGCAACTTGTAACTTACCTTTGGAAACTCAAAAAAAGATCTTCAAAGGAAAGTATATAAATTATATATAATTTATATAACATTTTTTGTCATGTCTAGTAGCGTAAAGGTATGCTGAAGCCAGCTCATACAGACTCAGGAGACCCTATTGTTAACACCCCTTTCCAACTCCCATGTTCAGTGATACTACCATGATTGCCTGAAGTCAGTCAGAGTAGGAGTGTTTATACCACGGAAATTGGAAAATGCTATAAATCAGGGATTACCACCCCCACTCCACCCTTGCAAGAGCCAGTGGTTAAGCGTTTATCAGCAGACTGTTGACTGGCACTTAAATGCCAAGGAAAGGGGCTTTCTCAAGGCTCCATTTCAAGGACTTTCCTCAGATTCCCCCAAATTAGAAGTTTCTCAATTGCCACCTTATAACCTGTATATTATTTCTATGACATTAGTTGGAGTTTGGAGTTGGAAAAGTCCAGATGAACTTCCTTCACTTACTGAGCTCAGAAGCCACCCATATTATCACCATTCACTGTCTAAACACGCCAGTGTGGACAAGTGCTCAGTCAAATGGCTCAGGATTGCCTATTGGCTTCAAGGGATGGAATGGCCAGATTTTTGAAGAAAACACTCTTCTTGAACCTAAAGTACTTTCAGATGACTGCAAGGTAAGGGATGGCACTTTTAGAATTGTTCAATATAACTAATATAAAATTGATAAGGCCATAAAATCAAAACAATGGGGATAAGACTTTAATTGCAAACTGAAGATCCAGAAGGGTAGTAAGTTTTAATGTGCCCGATTTATAATAACATTACATTTTTCAGAATCAATCATTTGCTTATATCATATCTTGTCAACTTTTGTCACACCCACTGGTTATCCATGGATTTTTATATGCAAAACAGATGTTAATACATAAATTTAATTTTTATTGCTCATATGAAATATTTATATTACCCCTGCCTGGATAGAAAGAGCATATAAATAAATAGATTGATTTCTTATATTTTCACTACTGTAATTCTACATCTCATTATGTATGGAATACAGGTTATAGAGGCAAGTCCGTTGTATTTCATTTTGTCAGTCCCTATACTTGATACCAAATATGGGCAGAATTGCAGATTGGCCCTAAAAATCAATATTTGAATAATAGCTCATTTTTCTTACTAAAATTAAATAACAAATGTCATGAAAAATCTATAATTTTAAAATACTGTGGTATAAAGCAGGTGTCGGCAAACTACAGTCCACAGACCAAATCCAGCCCACCACTTGTTTTTGTAAATAAATGTTATTGGAACATAGCCACACTCGTTCGTTTACTTATTATCTATGGCTGTTGTCACACTATGATGACAGAGTTAAATAAATGTGACAGACTATGGCTCACAAAATCCAAAACATTTATCATCTAGCCCTTTACAGAAGAATTTCCCAACCCTGTTATAAAGAGCATCCATTTTACATACATATCATTAATGACTTTAAGTAGCTTGGTTTCCTGTTTGTGTGTACCATGAAGCCCGCGATTTAACATCTCTTATCATTTCCAGGGGACTCTACTTTTTCACATTTTATTTTCAGACAAATAGTGCTTGAGTATTTGAAAAATGAGAGGCAAACAGAAATATATGGTTCATTCTCTATAAGCAAAGAGATCAATATTATCAACAAACTCATTTAACTTTAATCATTTTTTCTGGAAACTTTCAGTGACTCACTACTATCTCTGAGACACAATCTAAACTTACCAGCTCTTTATTTAGCACTTAAAACAGTCAGGTCCCACCTACCTTTCTAGTTTGGGCTTTCAGTGGCTGTTAACCCTCAAGTATGGCCAAACTGATCTGTTAATAATAATAATAAAATCAACAATAATTCTTACTATTAGTCATTGGGGCCTTATTATATAGCAGTTACCCTGTATTACATACATTATTTTATTTAATTATAACAGCTTTGTAAAGAAGTTTCATTTTATAGGTAAGAAAGTGAAGACACAGAGAGGTTAAATAACTTGCTCAAGGTCATGTAGCTAATTAGTGGAGAGCAAGAAGTAAACCCTAGGTGTGTATAACTCCAAAGCCCATGCCACACTATACTGCTAGGTACTTTAACTGTAATCTCATTTAATCCTCACAACTGTGTGAGGTAAGTTTTTATTTTTCAAATTTTATATATAAAGAGAATGGTGGTACCTGGATTTCTATCAAAATCTGCACTTCATCCCCATGCTAGGCTTATTTTTGCAACCATCTTCTACTTTTCCAGCAGTTTTTTGTTTGTATGTTTGTTTCTACTCATGTCATTATCTTTCTCTGAAATGCCTTCTCTACCTCTCTAACTAAGTGGAAATACTAGGCATACTTGAAGGCCCATTTTAAATTCTGAATTCTGAACTCATGAAGCTTTCCCTGAGTACTTCAGTTGGAAATGAGGGATTTAGCACTCACTGTCTACGTTATTTATACTGCACTCACTATGTGTTGTCTTGTGTTAATGTCTATGTGTTTGTGTTTCCCCTCTCCAACTAGATTTATAAGCTGCTAGTATCCAAAAGCCAGAACTAGTGCGCCTGGGTGGCTCAGTTGGTTGAGCGACCGCCTTCGGCTCAGGTCATGATCCTGGAGTCCTGGGATCGAGTCCCGCATCGGGCTCCCTGCTCAGCAGGGAGTCTGCTTCTCCCTCTGACCCTCCCCCCTCTCATGCTCTCTCTCTCTCTCTCTCTCTCAAATAAATAAATAAAATCTTTAAAAAAAAGCCAGAACTAATTTATTCATCGTCATATTTCCCAAACACTGTTAGAAAATAGAGGACTACATCTTACTCAACTGTGCCAATTGTACTTAGTATTCAATAAATATTGCTTGAAAGACTTAATGAGTTAATCTAATGGTGTCTTACACACACATACCAAGCTGATGACTAGTAAATGGAACTTATAGCTTAAATAATCACTAAGGATCCTTCAAATTTTAAAATTTATATCATGATAATTCTGTAAACGAGTAAGTGAATAAACTTAATAAAAAGCTTCACAAAACTAGTCAATTGTATTTCTCTATTTTGTCTTGTTGAATCTTAATCATAAGAGAGTTTATGATGTTTTTGTTCCATAGTAGAATTTGTCAGAAACAAGAGCATACAGTAATAAGAAAAACAGAAAGGCCTAGAAAGAAGAGAGGAAACAAACTATATAAACAGTAACCACAGACTGGAAAAAAAGAAACCTAAAAGGTGATTCAACATAATTATAATTTACTTCTGACTGAAGCAATTCTGGTTATATCCTGCCTAAAGTTCAGAGAGGGTGAGATAGCTCATTGCCTTTCATCCAAGAATGCCCATCCTAAAGAATCAGCCCCAGATGAAGGAACACACAACAGATGGGTATTCCTCAGATTAGGAATAGTACAGCCTTTTAATTTATATCTGGTCCAATGATCCACAGACAACAGAAGCAGAAGCCTAGCCTTAGTCTCTGAGACTGAAAAAATCAGAACACTTGGTGCCACTTAGAGAAAGGAATGAACCCATGTTTTCAGTTAGCCCTAGTGATTGTTACCATTGAGCACTGACTTTGTTCTGGGCACTTTCTATTCGTTATCTCTAATCCTTAAGTAAATCTTCATTGTCTGACAGTGAAGGGCATCATCTGCTGAGAATGACTGCTAATGACACAATTACATACCAAAGCATTTTGTTCTTGTTTTACAGATTCAAGATGGCAGGTGGCATAAGGCAAAATTCCTTTTTCACACCCAGGACCCTAATCAGCTTCCAGTAATTGAAGTACAAAAACTTCCTCATCTCAAAACCCAAAGGAAGTACTACATGGAAAGCAGTTCTGTATGCTTTCTTTAAGGTTTCTGAATTAGTTCAGAATTCGTGCTGTTGGCCAGGTAATTGCTGCAGAGGGAAAAATTCAGACAGAAAGATACTATCATTGTGCGAGGCATGGAATAAAGCATTGGCTAAATCTTAAAGAATCTCAGGAAGAAAAGATTTCCTCCTAAGAAGGAGAAAAGGCATTTTTAAAGGACTATAATTGATAAAGTATTTAATTCTTTAAAAAATTATATTGATCTGAGCTTTCTGAGAGAATTCCCGAGAACTGAAAATTTATAAACATGGAATTCTTCAGGGTAGCCTCTATTTTTTGACTGAGAGCAAAGTACCCATTAGACAGCTGGAGATGCAGAGCACTGTGGAGCAATACTGGCTAATGCTTCCAAATGTGCAATGCTTCTGTCTAAAAATTACAAGCCACAGTCTGACGTGTCTTATTTTCCCAAACACTAAGCTGTATTCAGGCCCCCAGCGGGCATATACATCTTAGCCGGTGGTGCACTACCTCTTCCGTGTTGCTTTTTTGTGTTGCTCGGTGCTCTTTCTAGATCAAGGTGCTTGTGGCTTTCAGAGACTATTTTATTTCTTTTTTCATCTTTGTCATTCTTTAAGAGTGTATGTACTGGTTACATCAAGATATGTTTTGGTTGTTAGTACTTATTTTAATTTGTTTGGTTACGTACTTAATAGCAAGTAAAACATTATTTATGTGAAGTCCTTGTTCTGTTTTAAAATTCTCTTCGTGGATATGGAATCAAAGGCAGCACACTGTCACCTGTGCTCACGCACAAGAGAATTGGGAGGTTTCTTTTGTTTTTATTTTTTAAATTGTTGTAAAAAATATTACAGGCCAGCTACTTCCAGTAGTAGTAGGTTTGGGTTAGAGTTTGGGGTTGTGATATACTATTTTTAAAAAAATCCATGATCATCTGGAATGATACTATGTATATATATATTTTGTAAAGTTTTAATTCAGCAAATCTTTTGAAATTGCTGCTTTTAAATTATAAAAAGCATTATTTCTGCTTCATAGGAATTACATGTTTTGTAGTATTCATTGATTTTATTTCACTATTGTTAAATTTACTGTGTTGGGACCCAAAAGAATTCAATTCACCAGTCTTTAAAGCAAGATTCAGGAAAAAAAAAAAAAAAGTCTTTAGCCGTTTAAAATAGGCTCAGCCCATTCAGACTTTCCTTGTCAGAGAACTGCTAGTTCAGTATTAAAAGAAAAATATTATACCTTTCGGTATATAGAAAAGCTTGTACATCCATTATAAACATATCTTTAGCCACAGCAAACCATACTTACCTATCTATAATAAAAATATGCTTTAAATCTTTTTTTGGTGGTATTCGCTTTTCTTCTTTTGTTACCATATCCTTTTATTATGTATAATAGCCCTCTGGCATGGTCCTTCTGTACTCTGTACATTTGCGTCATTACAAAGTATCTGTTACATACCTATAAGAGGATTAGAGGGTTTATCTCCTACTTGTACAAAATGAGGTCATGGCACAGAATAAACTCTCTCATATATGGTCAACTGACTTTCAACAAAGGTGCCAAGACCATTCAATGGGAAAAGGACAGTTTTTTCAACAAATGGTGCTGGGAAAACTGGATATCCACATGCAGAAGAATGAAGTTGGACCCTTATCTGGATATCATATACAAAACAACTCAAATGGATCAAAGTGCTAAATATAAGGGCTAAACCTATAAAACTCTTAGAAGAAAACATAGGGGAAAGTCTTCATGACAGTGGATTTAGCAATGATTTCTTGGAGATGACACCAAAAGCATGTTCCAAAAAAGAAAAAGATAAATTGGACTACTTCAAAGTTAAGAACTTCTTTACATCAAAGGACACTATCAAGGGAGTACAAAGACATCCCACAAAATGGGAGAAAAAATTTGCAAATCTTATATCTGATAAGGAATTAATACCCCAGAATGTATTTTTTTTAAAACTCCTACAGCTCGGCAGCTCTTTCTCTCCACAGATCCTGTCCCCATGCTTTAATAAAACCACCATTTTTGGGGCGCCTGGGTGGCTCAGTCGTTAAGCGTCTGCCTTCGGCTCAGGTCGTGATCCCAAGGGTCCTGGGATCAAGCCCCACATCGGGCTCCCTGCTCAGTGGGAAGCCTGCTTCTCCTTCTCCCACTCCCCCCTGCTTGTGTTCCCTCTCTCGCTGTGTCTCTCTCTCTCAAATAAATAAATAAAATCTAAAAAAAAAAAAAAAAACAAAAACCCAAAAAAAAAAAAAAACAAGGGAAGTAACAAGCATTGGTAAGGATGTGGATAAAGTGGAGCCTTTGTATGTTGCTGGTTGGAATGTAAAATGGTGCAGCCATTGTGGAAAAGAGTTTGGCAGTTTCTCAAAAGTTAAACATAGAATTACAATATAACCCAGTAATTCTAAGTTGTGTATATGCCCAAAAGAATTGAAAGAAGGGACCCAAACAGATATTTGTACACAAGTGTTCATAGAGATATTATTCAGAATAGCCAAAAGATGGAAACAACCCAAATGTGCATCCACAGTTGAACTGATTAACAAAATGTGGTATGAACATACAATGGAATATTTATTCAGTCTTAAATAGGAATGAAATTCTGACATATGCTACAACACTGATTACCTTGAAAACATTATGCTATGTGAAATAAGCCAGACGAAAAAGGGCAAGTTATCTGAAGTATCAAGAATAGACAAATTCAAAGACAGGAAATACAACCGAGGTTATCACAGGCTGGGGGAGGTGAAAATGGGGAATTATTTTTTAATGAGTACAGAGTTTCTGTTTGGGATGATGACAGAGTTCTGGAGATGGATGGTAATAATGGTTGCACAACATGTGAATGTACTCAGTGCAACTGAATCAACACTTAAAATGATTTAAATGACCAATGTTATGTTGTACATTTTACCACGATTTTTTTAAACGGAGCGATGGCAAATATGTCTGATTTCCTGCTTGAGGACCATAGAATTGTTTTTTAAAAGCAGCAGAGGTTGATTCTAAATGAAAGAAACTAGAGTTTCTGTCTATGTGCCATACCTTTTGTTCCCCCCCAAAAAAATTTATTTCAGAGACATAAGTGGTTTTCCTAGATATCACTCTGTACATTTGCGTCATTACAAAGTATCTGTTACATACCTATAAGAGGATTAGAGGGTTTATCTCCTACTTGTACAAAATGAGGTCATGGCA